AAGAATTATGAACCTTTATCTAATAAGAATCATTAGGTATAATATGAACTATAAAAGTTCTGAAAATTTTTGTGTAATCAATGAGTGTTAATTTATAGCAAGATTCTATAACTCATTAACATCACTAATGGCCCAAATCATTGCTTTTATATAGAAATTTAATAATATCATATATATGTTTCTTATCATTAGATTTTAATTTTCCTACCAGATGAAAAAATCCATGAGGCCAGAGATTTATGTGTTCAGATGTTTTGTTTTGTTTTGTTTTGTTTTGTTGTTTTCCATAGCAGAAATCAGTTATACCAGGGAAACACGCTAAGGAGTTTATATTCTTTTCTCGTCTTAACTCACCAGGGGACTACAAGTAGGTGATGGGCTTTCTTAGCATTTGTGTGTGAGCAGTCTGTCTTCTACTGCCTAGTCCTCCAGAGAGCTAACAATTGGCAAACATAAAGCATTAATAAAGTTTCACCTTCACCTATTGCATTAGTCTGCATTTTCTTTGAGCCTCTTTCTACCCCATCCATCCAACCAGGGGATTCAAGTTCTTCCAAGTTGAAGTGAATGCTATCAGTAAACTTGAAATCATTAGTCAGTATCATATGTCAATATTTTAATAGGTTATTAATAAAAATGTGTTCCATCCAAAATGGGTTTATAATGCCATCAAATAAATGCATGTGGTAACTTCTTGCATTGTTAAGCTTCAGACAACTTATTTATCACTTGATTGATATTTCTTCAGTACAGTCTGGAAATAGAGAAAAAAATGTAACACATTTCCAACCTAGAAATTCAAGCTGGTAAAATCTATTTCTTAGGTCAGATTTCAGATACCATACCCACGTGGACAATAACATGAAGAAAGAAAGAAGAGAAGTTTTGGTTGTCTTGCTCACAGGAATACTTGGAGGAAGGGTATGATTATTAGATGAACATAGGAAATTTTTAGGTGATGTTTATATAATTGTTAAAACAGAGCTGCATAAGATTCAGACATATGAAATGGATATGTTTTGGCCCATCCAGGAAAAATGTTTCCAGGAGAAAATGCTCGATATAACAAAAGAAGAGGAATCACACCCATATGATAACAATATGACCTTTATTGGGAGTATAAAAGGCTTCAAATGGTCATCACAGATAAATTACTCCATAACCTATGATTGTCCAGACAAATCTTATTTCTAAATCTTGACACAGGGGGACAAAGGAAACCTACCTGTGCCTATTAATGGGAAGAGAGTGAATCTCAAAATGAAAAAATCATCTGTGACTTCAAAGAGAAAGAGCTGACAGCAAGATATTTGAATTAATTAAAGAAATACAATGCTGTTCGTTGGTGAGTACTTTTTGTGGGTGTATTTCAAAACATCTGTGCTTGTTTCCATGGAGATTGTGCCTGGTTTATTCTGTTGTTAATATACCATCTGTGCATGAAAGAAATAAGAGGAAGCTACCTGATGGAAAATTAAATATAGACATTCCACACAGGCTCAGAGAAGTTATGGTCACCTGGCCCAGCAGGAGATAGTTCAATTCCTTGGTGAACTATGCCAAGTTACATGAATGCTGGCTGACTTGGGAATACTGACAAACCTTCTTAGAAATGATACTGAATTTCAGGTTATTAGTTCTGATACCCACGAGATGATTGTGAAGAGTTCCAAAAAGTAAAAATAATTTCATGTATTTCGAGTTTTAAAAAATTATTCTAAGAAAGCCAGCTCAGAATTTAAACATCTTTGAGAGGCTTGTGTGCTCAAGGTTTTGTGTTCTTATAAAAGTTTTCTACTTTTCCTCCCAAGGCTACATTCTCCATTATTTTTTTCACAAGAGTGAGGCTCTCATGTACCTTGGGTTATGATTCCTCACCTAAATTTCTGTCAGGGTGGGAACCATGAATAAGAAATAACTGTAGTATCCTAAACCACTTCTGTGTTAATTTTTCCATTCCCTCTCCACCTATCATAATCACTCCTTTCACTACTTATGCCTCTTTAACTTTGTCCATTTGACAATTCTATTTTAATTATTTGGGATCCCTCTACAGTGTGTTTCAGTAAAGTGGTACCAATTTACATTCTTCCCAGCGGTGTTCAAGGGTTCCTTTTTTCCACATGCTTGCCAATACTTGTATTTTTTGACTTATTCCTAATACTCACCCTAACAAGCATGAGGCGGTTTCTGCTTAGGATTTGATTTGTATTTCCTTGAATATAGTGATATTGAGCATCTTTCTATACACTCCTTGGCTCCTTGTATAGCTTCTCAATAAAAAGTGTCTAGTCAGATCATTTGTCCATTTTAAAATTGGATGATTTAAGGGTTTTTTGTTTGCTTTTGTGTTTGAATTTTACTACTTCTACATTTTGGATATTTTTGCAAGTATTTTCTTGTAGTGTTAGGCTACCTTTTCCCTTTTTAGTATTTCCTTTGCTGTACAAAATCTAGGTAGTTTGATGTAGTACTGTTTGCTATTTTTGCTTTTGGTGCCTATGTTTTTTAGATCAAATACCAACAACAATAAAAAAATCATTGCCAAGACCATTGTCCAAAAACTTTCACCCCACGTTTTCTTTTAAGAGTTTTGTGGTTGCAAGTCTTACATTTCAGTATTTAATCTGTTTTTAATTCATTTTGTGTATGAATAAGAGCAGGTAGTGTTGTGTAGCATCAGAAAATGGTAAAATTTCATTTTTTGCATAAGTATATAATTTTTCAATATCATTTATTGAAGAGTCTAGCCTTTTACCATTGTTTATTTTGGAGCCTTTGTTGAAATTCATTCAGCATGTATGGGTGGGATTATTTCTGAGCTCTGTTTGGTTTAGTTGGTCTAGTCTATGTGAATACAGCTATGATCTTTTCTTTCAGAGCATTTAGAGTTGAAAAGAATGAACATTAAATTCTATGGTTTCACATGTTCATTCAAAGTTCGATTTATTTCATAACTTCACAGTCTCATTGACTGGCGCCCAGCCTACATCCCCATAACATCATCTATTGTTCTCGGCACAATATATTAGTTTTTCTTAAAATTCCTATGAGATGAGCAGGTGTCTGCTAGTGCTGAGAACTTTTGAGTTGTTTCATATCTATTATCAACCAATTGATGGCAAAAACTTAATTTCAGGAACTGCTCTTGAAATGCCAATATTGATTAAGATTTACTAATTTGATACCATGATGATTAGAAAAACAGATGGAATCACTGAATATTAGAATTTATCTCAAAGTGTCATTTAATATAAATACCTGAAATATGAGTGGATTGGAAGTGATTTTCTTCGTATTGATTTATCTTGAAACACTTAACATGCATTAAAGAAAAATGTCTAAAGAGAGGTCACAATGTGTATGGCAGGACCTTCTTATTTACTTTTCAAAACAGCCCTGTGAAATGGATATTATTAGCTTATCTTATGGAGAAAAAATGTTTTTTAAGGTATTCAAAATTTCACTCAAGATACTGTAACAGAAAATAAGTATTTAATCACCAGATAGAAGATTCATGAGACAAGGATCACATCAGCCTTGTCTCTAGCTCCTTGCCTTCATACCTATCTTACAATGCATGACAGTCGATAAACATTTCTTGAATGAGAAAGTAACTAGATCAATTTCCACATCCTTTCATTTGTATAAGATACCGTGAGCTGTATTTTCTATAAGCTAGAAAACTTGGTAGAATTATTCATCTTAGTCCTGAGTAATCTCTATAATATTTCTATGAACTTTGTTGCATTAAAATTCACCTTTAAAAATACATAGTAGGGATTTAGTGAGTGAAACACAAAGATGATAAATATAAAGTGTCAAACACAATAGTAATGTACTCCAAATGTAACTCCAGGTTTTTGCTAAATTCGCAACCATACAGAGAGATGGATAAAACATAAATGATCAAAGGAAATATTAATGGAATTGATAGATTTTTAATGTCTCAGCCATGCTGAATTGCTATATAGTGTACCAATAAATCTTGGTGGAAATTTTCTTGAAGGGCATGGTGACATAATTCAATAAGTAGAGTAGAAAACTGAGTGTTAGAAAATTCGGTTGTGTCCTAGTTTATCATCTCACTGATTCAAAATATTTATTTTTTATACAAAAATGATGCCAATTAAAAGAAAAACATTAAAAAGCACAGAAAGTAACATATTTGTTAGTAACAATATGTTAAGGGCAATAACAATATGAGAATTGACATGTTCATCTTATGAACAATTCCATGAACTATGTACTAGATTTATCCTAACTTTTCTAATAATAAAAAAAAACCAGCAAGATACAACTGCTTTGGTAACAAGGTACAATTGGCAGGTCTTAGAGTTTTGGTTTGAGACCCATCTCCAGGGTAGGTCTGTATCAATCATTATATTCCACAGCACCGTGTCTGATGGTAGAAAGGCTGGCCAAAAGTTCAGACTGATAACACTTCCTTTTATTTAACAGCAGAAAAATGAATTTCAGTAAAAATAAAAGAATTGCTAAAATTCAGATACACCTCTTGTCACCGAAATTCATGTAAAAATGAGTTCATAACAATTAAAAGTTGACATGTATTTATCATTAATATGTTATTTTTTATTTAAAATTTTCTTTTCACTGCTAAAGATAAAACCCTAAACCCAGGGTCTCAGGCATGTTAGCCAAGTGCCCTACTATTGAGCTCCACTCCCAGTCCATGCTTTATTATTTTAGTAGATATCAACTGACTCTTTGTTAGGAATGATGAGGAAATAAACATATTTTGCTTCTCCCACTCCCTATCCCAATTATTATTATCATTATTATTATTATCATTGGGTTTTATATTATCTATATTCTGTTTTGTAATCACAATTCCCAAAGTAATTTGATCTTAATGCTATATGTAAAACTGATGAATAATCAGCCCTACTGTGTTTAATCCAATCTTTTCATTTTTAGTCACTTTAATAAAAATATTTTGATTGAAATTTGATAATCAGTATTTTAAATATTTTGTTCTTGTTTCTCAATACCTCTTAAGTGCTGTATCCCTGAATTCTTGCATGCATGAGACTCTGTCCCTTGCCTTTACACCTGAATAGAAGCTCTGCTGGGTGTCAGTTATTTATTATATTTTCCTCTCCTCCCCCTCCCAATGCTGCCAATTTAAAAAATATATTAACTCCTGAGGTTTTTTTCAGCACTGAGAACAGAGAATTCTGAAGCCATCCTGATGTTTTCTCTCTCTTTTTTTGTAGGTGACTTGCTTTTCATTTCTCATGCATACACAATTCTTTGCTTTATTCTTGAATGTCAGAATGTGTTGCATTGTTGACCATTCTGTTTCAGTTATTTCTCTCCCAGATACTGTGCATTTTCTATCTGAGCTTTGACAAATTTATTACAGAAAAGATTTTTCATATTTTCAGCACAGTTTTTAGTTCCATTCTTATATGCTAAGGACAATAGCAGTATGTGAATTGACATGTTCATCTTTTGAACAGTTTTATGAGCTACGTATTATATTTATCCTAACTTTCCTAATAACGAAAGAATCACAGCAAGGTGCATCATCTTTGGTAACAAGGCACAATTGGTAGGAGGTGGACTCATGATTTGAAACCCACCTCCAGGGTTTCATCTGCCTATATGTTGGATCGCTGTGTCATATATTCATATATTCTCCCTAATAATTTCTATGTCTTTTCTCTTTCCTCATTGTGAGATTGAATTGAGAGGCCAAGAGGAAAGGACTTAGGGATCTTTGCTCTTTTTTTTGTTTTGTTTTGTTTTTGGTATTGGATCGAACTGGGGACCTTGCTCTTGCGAGGCAGGCGGTGGCACCACTGAGCTAAATCCCCGGCCCTATACTTGCTTTATTTGCTGGTGCTTCTAGTGTCCTCTGTCATCTCTGTAATACTTGTTACTTTATACTTCCTTGCTTTCCATTTCCAGGTATTGTCTTGTAATCTCTTTGAATCATGCAGTCTTTTCCTTGAGCCTTAAAAACAGAATACAGCAATAAATTACACTGCCTGTGATTACTTTGAAATTATGAAATACCATTTTTGTTAATTTTTTGTCTTTTTTAATAAAACCTCTTTTATGTATATTTTATCTTTCACCTGACTTTTGCTTGTGCTTCTTTCCTCCTTGTTCTTCCTGCTTGTATCTAGGCCCAAGTCTGAGGGGCTTTCTTATTCCAAACACTTCATTGGCTCATACTGTTAGTGCATCTTCCTTCACCTGCTTTTTATCCTCTCTCCTTTCCTCAGTTTGAAGCATCCAAAAGCCAGTAGCATCTGCAATGACAGTAAGAGCTCTGTATGTTCTCTGGCCCTCCTAGCCACCTCTGATATTGCTGTGAGCTATGTGACCAGATCAGGGTCACGTAAAAGTGGTGTTAGTGATACGCATTCTCCTTCGGTTCAACGTCTACTGCAACTGTCACTTCTAGTGCACACCCACAGAGCAATTGTGACTATAAAACTTAATTCCGTTTCCTGCTCAATCTGAGAATGGGAGTTCTTTCACTTGTTTTAATGTTGATTTCGCACTGTTTGGACTATAGACTTTCAGAGGTATATAACGTTGGGTCATGGTTGTGAACATTCACTATTTCATTGAGAATTTTACAAATATGGAAACATCAGTGTTATTAGGGTGGGTTTTAAGGAGTGAATAAGAATATATATATATATATATATTATGCTTGCACTACCATTATTATTTAGAAGTTCCTTTGAACTCTTGAGCTAGCTGATCATTAGGACCAGGTAAAAGAAACTTAAATCTGCTCTTCAGGCCACCTCCCTATTCTGTTAACATTTTACTCCACTGCATTTTTCTTGCTATGTTTCCTATTCCTCTATTTCAGGAAGGAAGCCCCCCTCTCAGTATACCCCTGATTCAAATAAACCAAGAAATTAACAATCTTTTTCTAAGAGAATCTTCCCACAATGATATCTATTTTAGCATGAGTGAGTCAATGTGATCCTGTCCCTGAGATATTTTTTATACAGTTTTGATTTGAGATAAGAGGCAATACTATGTAGAAAGTGAATCTCGAGCATCAGACAGAGGTAGACTATAATGCTTGTGGCAGGTGAAGTTTTCTGGAAACCTAAAAATCATGCCTCTGGCCTATATTTCAGGGCAGTCTGAACCTCTACTCTTCAATTACTATATATACAAAATCAACACATACTCTGTAATGTTTCTTTAATTATAAGCACTTCGTGAAAAAACTAATACTTGAGATAATGCTTCCCCATAATTTTTAATATACAAAGTAAATGAATGTAAATAAACACATGCAAATGAAGGTTAGTAAGCATTCCAACAACTCAATATTCTCTTGAGTATATTAATACCCTCTGATAAGCTTGAGAAAACTATCAGATAGTTCATGAAATCTTCATTTTATTAAAGCAAAACAAAGATAATCTTCTGGCTAAAGTGGAAATTATCAAATTCAAAATTAATAATGTTTGCATTATATCATGTAATTATAACAATTATATTAATAATGTTGCTCAACTTGTGATGGAACTAAAATTTTCACAATATTCCTCACTATAAATTTATGGAATACTAAATATTTAACAAAGCACATTTTAGTTTGTGATGTGTTTTATGATTTTGATGCTAGATGTCTTTTTAAAATGCTATGTGCCTTCAGGATAAGAATACTAAAATAACACAAGGAAAATATATTACATATAAAGTTAAATAATACTTAACCATGTAAGTAGCATATACTCATCATTAAGATATTGATATAAAACTGAATATTTCCTCTATACTTATGCCTTATTATTATCAAGCACTGGAGATAAGAAAAATAAGGCCAGTTTTATGAGTGGAATTATCACCAAACCATAAATTTTTACTGATAATGATAACCTGATTCAAGTTTTTAGAATTGTTCTGTTAGCTACAAAAAACAATTTTCCAATAGCTTTTGGAAAGAAATCCATGGCATGACACTATGGAAATTAACATGTCTCTGGCAAATTTGTAAACAAAATGTTTAAATGTCAGACAAATTTGCAGACTTTGAACTGTTTTCAGAATTGATGTTATCAATTTATACCTGCAGTTAATTACACATTTGATGTTGAAAGCGTGGTCATCTTTGTTACCTGCCCCCCCATGTCACATAGTTCTAGATCACTCCATCACTGGTCCATGAGCAAGGATGTGTACTTGTGCATCTGTCACTGTTATGGCTTGTGTCTGGATATCCCCCAAAGCCTCATGTGGTCACAGATGGGGCTTTCCAGAGGTGGCTGGATCTAGGGTGTGTGAATGTGAATTAAGGATGTGATCCTGGGATTGACGGTGTGTGGTACTCATTTTAGTTCATTGATTACCACAGTTCTGGTTGTGGATAATGGGAAGGGCCAGTCTTGTATGGGTGACTCTACCCAAAGGGTTTGTAGCCTAGGTGGAATAAAAGGGAAAGATGAACGGCAGCCTGTTGCTCCTTGCTGCTTGCTGCCTTCTGCCTGCCCTGCCGTGAACTGTTTTTCCTTTGTGATGCCCTTCTGCCAGGCTGCCCTGCCTTAGAGCTAGCTGCTATGGACTGAAACCTCTACAAACTGTGAGCTAGCATGAACATTTCCTCTTTTAACTTTGGGTGTCTGGTATTTTCTCTCAACAACCAGAAAACCAACTATGAGAGTCACAGGGGACTGTGCTCACAAGTCTTCAGGAAAGACATGTGGCACCTTTGCCAACCTTTTATTACCTTAGTGGGCCATTTTACTTATAAAGATTCCACATTGACATGAATCCTTTCATTCAATTCCTAAAGTATGTATGCAAAAGTATAAATTTTACAAATATTGGAAACATACTATAAACCCCTTCTAAGAAATGATAAAGAAGTTGTACTAAGAGCCCTTAGTTAGGAACATTGGGTGGTCATCTTGAGGCTTTCACAGTGACCATGTAGGATATATTAAAATTAATGCAATAGAAAATACTGATGTGTCGCCATTAACTCATTTGGAACACACTGAATTAAGCTCCTCTGGCTCTTTCACTCCCTGCTTCAGGAAGGGCGAGCACTAAGGAGAGAGAACGCCTCACTCGCTGGGCCTTTCTGAGACCCAAAGTCACAGCTTGGCCATCAGACACCATCTGCTACTTCTAGCTGCCTGCTGCTCTGCACCTTCAACCCGAGGTGAGCACTTGCTGCAGGCAGAAAGTTCATTAGGAACAGCATGGTTTCTCCTATGGTAGAGAAGGTAGTCATCATTAAATTACTTATGAAATGTTCACCTAGCCTATCTAGCAAAAACTACTCAATCCATAGAATTTAAGCATCAATTTAGTATAACTAAGTCTATAGTAAAACTCTCTTTTACTTTTTAAAATAAAATTCTATTTTCAAAGAGATACAAACCTAAAGAACAATTGAGGAGAGAGTAGAGTTCCCAAACACCACATAACATAGTTTCCCCTATCATTATCATTTTATATTTTTCATAAGTAGTGAGGCAATATTGGTATATTCTTACTAAATTTTCAGATTTCCTTAATTCTTACCTCATTTTCTCTCTGTTTTAGGATCCCATCCAAGATATCACATTGCATTTAATTATCCTGTTCCCTGCAGGTCCTCTTGACTCTGAAAGTTTTTCAGAATCAAAAGCAGTCACAGTCTCTTGACTATGTTTTGAATGACAGCTTTTTTGATAGTTTAGGGGAGTACTTGTCATGCATTTTGCAGAAGGTTGCTCAGTTGGAGTGCGTCTGGTATTTTTCTTATGGTGGGGTTATGAGATTTTGGAGAGGAAGACCATGGAGGTAAGCTATAATTCTTATCACATCATAGCAAGAACACATAACTGTATGGCAACTTAGCACTCTTGATATTGAACTTGACCACCTGGCACAGGTAGGGTTTGTCAGGTTTGTCCACCATGAAGTCTCCTCCTTTTCCATCCTGTGCTCTTTGTACAAAGTCACTATGTGCAGCCCACACTTTAGGAGTGGAGAGATGGGCTCCACTCTTTTTTTTGAAGATGAGCAGCTACATCTCCATGGGAGATTCATTTTTGTTTTAATCTGCACCTCTCAATTAATACTTACAATGGAAATATCTAATGAATCCCAGCTTGAGTCACCTAACATCGTAAACTGCCTACTCCCATTTTCTACCCAAACTCCATTTTATTCCCTACAGTCCTGGAAGCTGGGGCCGTGGCAGTGTTTCCAAGGTGGGGCCTAGGTGACTGAACTTATTGCCCACATTGGTGGGAGCTGTTACTTCACTTTCTCCCTCTTCCTTGTTCTTCCTTTGATGGTTGATCAGAGAGGAGGCTCTTGGGCATGTTGTACTTTTCTTTCTGTTTCCAGGGCTTTCAGTTTTCTGTAGTTGACTAACCTTATCAAGGACACCCATGTCTCTGGCATAGGACCTGTGGGAAAATTGTCTCTTTGTACATATGTGGCACAACAGGTAAGCAAGGGACGCCTGCTGCTGCTCTCCATGCCTCTAACAGGACTCCAGAGAGAGGGACATCCCTTTCCTATCAGAATTCTCCATATGGCAGAATTAACATTCCATTATGGTACATTAGAGAGACAGGAATTTAGAGAACAAATTCTTTTTGGCTTTGGCTTCTTCTCATGTCGCAGAGGGATGATGGCAGATACCCTCTGCCAGTGTCAGGAGCCCCCACAAGGGTTTCCCAAGCAGAGAAATCACCTTGTATGAGAACACCAACCCTCAGATCCTTGGTATCTTTATTAATGAGAATTTTTTTTTTCTTTTTTGCTACCGGGCATCAAACTCGGGTCCTCGCGCTTGCACAGCAGGCGGCAAAACCATTAAGCTAAAGCCCTGGCCTTTAATGAAAATATTTTTAAAGTGTGCATATCATGAATATCTGGCAACCTTAAGAAGAAATTAAGATGCAAATGATAGCAGGCATTTCTAGTAATGAAAGGGGAAAGCAAAAAGTTCCATCCACTTAAATGAGTACTGCACGAGACTGCACCAATACACTGCCTGTTTCTTGGATGTGTGTGTGTATACACCTGTACACCATGATCGCCGAGATTCCTCTGACCAGGGAAGGGCATGGGAAGTAACTGTCCACGCGCTCGCCCTCCTCCAGCCCGCTGCTCAGTGCTGGGTGACCAGTATGGCTGTGCCCACTGCCTTCAGGATGGGGCCTCATCATCTCATACGCTGCCGGGCCCGGATGGAGAGTGGCTTTGGCCCACTGCATGCCGTGGTTTGTGAGCACTGAGCATCCACATCACTGCAGAACATGTGAGAAGCTCCAGGTTTTGGGTCCCATCAGGTCCCACTCAAACAGAATCCCTGGGGGTGGGGCAAACACCAAGGAAACTGTGCCCCAACAACCTAGTCGGTACACTGAAGTCTGGGGACTAAAGAAGCCTTGGGAGTGAGTAACTGATGCGCTTTTAGTATGTGAGTGGTCTTCTGGACCAGAGCAGCCGTAGAGAAGCATGCAACCTTTAAGGAATGAAAGCACAGAAGGCTAAGCTGTATTCTGCAGGGATATTTGAGAATTAATAAATATGACTATTTGATGAAGAGGGCACTTTTCATGAGAAGAAATGGAATTAAGATGTCGCCATTGCTAGAACATCTCAGGAAGCAATGTCTTGTCAGAGGCAGGTCAGTCAGCATGAAGGGATCTGGACGTGGCTATGATTCCCGCTAGATGCAGTTTAAGATAAAACTGGTTTGATTAGCTTCGAAAACAACCTTGATATGGATTGGGTGCTTGTGAGTCCGTAGACTCTGTGCCTCGATTTATTAATTTAAGAAACATACAAAGGCTTTAACTCTTCTCTTTTGAAACATATTTTACCTGTGCTGCAGTTTCTAAAAACTGAATGGCCCAGAACCCAGAAAGCTGACCACTCATCCTGACGTTGGAAGGAATAATTCCCCAAAAGAACCTCCTGTCATGCTTCTCATTATTTTTGTTATTGATCAGTTATGAGTAATGGTAGCTGCTAAGGATTATTCCGAGAATGGGTTTGGAAATTCATGTTCCCTTTGGTCTCAAAATGCAAAGGAGCCAGATATAGGCCTGCAGAGGGAGAGAAGGAGAAAGGTATTTACATGAGGTAACCAACTACACAGCCTAGAATCAATCTCTCTCTCTCCCTCCCTCCCTCCCTCCCTCTCTGATAGGCTCTTGCCATGTAGTTAAAGCTGGCCTTTAATTCATTACTCATTATGTAGCCTAGGCTGGCCTCCTGCCTCAGCCTCCCCAGTGCTGGGATTATAGACAGACCTGTCCCAGCAAAATTTCTGGAGCATTTGGTCCATCACCTGTGTTTTCTTTAGTTCAAGTTCGCCAGTGTCTGTGAATGCTATAGTTTCCCTCCTATGCCTCATCCCATCAGCATCTGCATACTGGTTCAAAGTTAGGGAGGGGAAGTCAAAAGGATTAACAGGTGATGCCAATTCCTCACAATGTATGTATTTATCATGTTTTACAAGCATATACTAATAAAGAAGAAAAAAATTTAAAAATAAAGTTAGAGTTTCTGTACTGCTTACTGTTCATTGCTGTTGTCAAAAGGGATTGTCACTCCTTCTTTCCTGGCAAAGTAAGGCACTGGGTTCAGTCAATGCTATGGTCCTGCAGGCCAAGAAAGTGTTGATTTTGGAGACCTTTGCTTCTCTGGCCAGCATCTCCACTCCTGGACCACAGCATATTCTGGACACAAAACACTTGAACTGATTTAATCATGGAAGATTTCCACAGTGTCCTAATCAACTAAGGCTGCCATAAGAGAAGTACAAGAGAAGTACATTCCTAGAAAAGGAATGCTTATTTCTCACAGGTCGGGAAGCCTGAAAGTTCCTAAGGACATCAGGCTCCTGCTGAGGCCTCTCCTCCTGACCCACAGGTGACTGTCTTCTCCCCGTGTCCTCATTTGGTGGGAAGAGAACAAGCACTGGTTTCTTATACAGGCACGAAATCCACCGATGAGGGACCCCTCCTTCCTTAACTACCTCCCTACAGCACTACCGCTTGGTATCATCACAGTGGGCACTAGGATTTCAACATAGGAATTCTAGAATGAGGGAGCACGAACATTCAGTCTATGATGTTGCATAGAGTCTACTCTGTTGAATATAAGGCAAGTTTCCTCTGATACAAAAGAGATCAAGAGGAAAAGCCCATTTCGTCATCCTCTCCCCTTTCCTCCTTGAGACTTGGCCAGCATACGGTGATAATTGCCACCCAGCAGCCATGAGAATGACAACCCACTGTGGGTAGACATCCTGAGTCGTGGAGCCTGGCACTCCAACCTGGGGTGCCCGGAACGCCAACCTCCTGACCACCTTGAGTTAATGTAAATAGATTTCTGTGATGTAAACCACTAGTCAGATACTGTGACTCAAAGCCAGATATATTTTGTTGGTACTCTAGAAGAAATCATATTCACAGGCCACTCCCAAAACTCTTGTGTGACAAATAAGGGTGGAAGACATTTAAATTTTACATCTTTTACAAGATGTAAAATTTATAAATTAGTTTCATATGGCTCATTTCAGCCCTCAGAAGTCCCTTCTGGAGTTCAAATTAAATACGAGCCCTTCTTTATGAAGCAAGGTATCATACCAGGGATACCAACAAGTAGACAGAGCGAAACCTCACACCACTCTCCTGCAGTGAAGAACAGAAGACAGACAAGCAATAGGAGATGCAATGTAGTTCACATGTGGGCATGAAGCAAGTGCCAGAGACATAGTAAGAAGGCTTCATTGCCATGATAAAAAGAAATTTCTCCTCTGAAGTTCAAATGGGAAAAGCTAAGACTGAGAGATTCATTTCTCCATTCCTGAAGTAAATTCTGACTAATAAATCTTTACTAATGCAAAACGCACTAAAATACATGGTATCTTATCTGTGATGTTTATCAAAGCAAATTGGAAACCATGACATCTAATAAGCACTGCACATCAGACTGTTCAAAAGTACAGTTACCCTTAGGGAATCAAAGAAGGTAAAAATCATATCATCCAGAGGAGTTTTACTGCTATTTTCACAGAATGAGAGCTGCCTGAAGACTGGAGAGAGGAAAATAGATTTTCTTTTTTTGCACAGACATAAGATTGACTACAGTTGCTTTATGCCCACATGTGGAGTGAAGATAGTGTCATGTAGAAACTGGATGTGATCAGTGACCGTGCGAAGAACAGCCTGGAGAGGTGGTGTCTGGAGCAATTCAACGCACAGGGAGAGTTGAGCTCTGCTGAATAACCTGTCGGGTCCGTGGGTCTTTGTATAGGGATAATCATCCAACCCTTTGAGCTTTATGTGGTGTAAGAACGGCAGTCAGGGCATTACCAGCCTGAGGGTTGGAAACAGAGGTTCAGTTGTGAGATTGACTGAATAACTTTGAGAAAGCTACCTAATCTGAGGTTCAGGTCTCTAAGTCAGGAAGGGTTTTCAGGGCTAAAATCCAAAAACTTCTGGGAAAACCAAAGGTATTACCACATTAGGCCCATGTCTTGTTCTTTCCAACTCCCTGAACCACATCTACTGTTACAGAACTTACTCTGCCACTTTACATTGGTAAGGAAGACTTCATCTAAGATTACTGTGTCAAGAATAGCAACAAAGAGACTGGGCTCAATTCTGAATATAAGAATAAGTAGAAATTGATAGTCAAAGAGCAGGTAGAATGGTGGTAATTGGGGCCGGTCCTGAGGATAGGAAATTTCTAAGAGGAAACATCAAGGGTAGGATGATTTTTGCTGAAAGAGGATCAGGGTGATCAGATATCAAGGATGGGTGAGGCTTCTCTCTAAATTGACTTAGCAGGATTCTTGATAAAACAGGATTCGGCAAAGGCAAACACAGAAGCCCAAGGTCAAGGTCTAGGTGAGGAGACCCAGAGGAGCCTGACTTGTAATGTCAAGGAGCCCCTGTCACAATGTACCAGAAAAACCATGCTGCCAATGTCACACA